TGAAATTCAAACGGTGGTGTTTATAAGAAATGAAACGTGTTTAGAAACTTGGTAACCATGTCTTTATTTTTATTCATTTAGTTTTCATGATTTTAGCTCCCTCCAAAAATAAGGGGACAAGATAAAGCTTTTCAATAAGACATCAAAAGAACTTAAACATCTAGATGTCCAATCAGCACCATTTTGTAGAAGGCATCACTGTTGCACATTCAATCGTTTCTGTATTCCACTCTCAACTGGAAAAAATCTATTCATGTAAACGGAAGGCTTGTTGCATCTTCTTTACATCATTTCTTAATCGTCCACCGTCAGCCAATTGCTTTGTCACCAGAGAAGAGAGTCTGACCTCTTACCTCGCGACAATGCAAGTACCTGTTCATTCCATCTCCCAGGGGGAGGCGTCTCCTTCCTTGCCAGAGACAGTCCATCTGGGATGACAGATGGAGAAAGGATGGTGACACCAGCCTGGCCATCGAGCATTTATCCAGGACCACCAGCAACTCTCAATAATATCAGGCCATTCCGAGCCCTCTGGGACAGTCCCGGTGACCAGAATACATTTCTCATTTTTCCATAATCCATGCTACTCGAGTCTCATGAAATTCGACCGATGCTCTGTCTATTCTAGATGCTGATTAAGCCACTGGAGGAGGACTATCCACCTTCTGTAAGGCTAGCTCTGGGGGTGCCTCAGGAACACTGCACCCCCCGCTGGCTTTGGTAATGAAGTCTCGCTGGCATCACCCAGGAAACAGCTGGGAAACACAGAAAATCTGAGCCATTGCAAACATGGGTTGCTCTCTCTTCATTGTCTGCCTCCGAAGGTTTCCTGTATGAAGGTCAAGGCGAAGGACAGCCAACCACGGAATGACGCTGACATGACTGCAAACGCTGGGAACCGAAGCGATGATTTTATCACACATCTTTCTACAGCAGTGAGGGCGAACCTTTTGAGCTCGGCGTGCCACCATTTTGAAAAACCCTCACTTCACTCTGGTGCCGTGTCACAGATGGAAATTTTTTGATCTTTGCAACCAGAGTAAAACAAAGACTTCTATTTTTGATATTTATTTTATAGATTTAAATGCCACTTAACAAAGAAAAATCAACCCCCAAAATGAGTTCGCGTGTCAGAGGTTTGCCATCGCTGTTCCAGGCTGTGATTTCGGGGAGGGAAGTACAGCTGTGAACAAAACAGGTGCGAGCTCTGTCCGCCATGAGAAAGTCAAGGCAAGGAGAAGGCAGGGAACACTGCTTCTAACTTCCCTGTACTGGGGGGGTGATGGCCAGGAATGGGGAGATGGGCCCCTGTAATCCCACCCTCTACCTCAAGGGGGCGCCATCGTATCAAGCACTCTTTCAGTCTGTCCTGGTAAAACTAAAGGATGGTAGCTTTACCATCTTTCAAGAATAAAGGTTTTCATCATCTTAAGGGGATGCGAGGGCCTATGTCAAGTAACTGCTCGAAGCTTCAAGGTATCCGAATTCCCGTAAAAGGGCCGAATATCTGCTTTCAAGGGGAGAAAATATAAGAAGAAACAGCAAGAGGGGTGTGGATGGGGAGTGGCTGCATTCGTTTGTTCAGTGAACGGCCCCTGAGTGCCCACCCTGTGCCAAACTTGCCCTAAGTCCCAGGGACACCGCGATGAGCCCAGTCGGCCATCGCTGCCCTTAGCTTGCATCGCATCGGCCTATAGACTCCAGCACGTGACAGACAACGGGCAGTGCTATACATAGTGTAGCAACGACATCGATATTTACTGAACGCTCGGCCTGTGCCAAGTATTACTTAAGTGTTCCCTATACGTCGCACAGTTTAAACCACGCGGTGCTATTACGGGCAGGCGCTATTAATTTCCCCATCTTGCAGATGAGGCCGGGTGGGTTGGATGAGATTAAGTGATTCTTGGTGGAGGCAAGAGTTAAAGTCGGGCCTTGGACAATAAAACCCACACCACTGAAGCATGAGGCTGTGAGAGAGAGACAGGGGGCAGGGATAGACAGAGATGGGGGTGGAGGGACCAAGTTAACTCCACGGGGCAGGATCCTCAAAGGCCTCTCTGCAGAGGTAACATCTGAGTTGAGACCTCAACGGGGAGAACCAACCAGCCCGAGAAAGAGCTGAGGGCAGAGCGTTCCCATCAGAACACAGCAAGGACTGCCCTGTGCAGGGGACCAGCCGGGCTGCCAGAACCGGGAGAGCAGGGTGGGTCCTGGGGGGATTGGGGGTTCAGGCCATGGGCTGCGGTGTGATCGTGGTGTCATGGGCACCTCTGAGGGGTGTGAGCAGTGTGATAGGATGTGACTGACATTTAAAAAATGACTCAAGCCCTAACCAGTTTGGCTCAATGGATAGAGCGTCGGCCTGTGGACTCAAGGGTCCCAGGTTCGATTCCGGTCAAGGGCATGTATCTTGGTTGCGGGCACATATCTAGTAGGGAGTGTGCAGGAGGCAGCTGATCGATGTTTCTCTCTCATCGATGTTTCTAACTCTCTATTCCCTCTCCCTTCCTCTCTGTAAAAAATCAATAAAATATATTTTAAAAAATAAAATAAAATAAATAAGAAATGACTCAAGATGAGTCCTAACCGGCGTGGCTCAGTGGATAGACTGTCGGCCCCTCGGACCGAAGGGGCTCAGGTTGGATTCTGGTCAAGGGCATGCACCTTGATTGATCAATGTTTCTATCTCTCTCACCCAGCGGTTCTCAACCTGTGGGTCGCGACCCCTTTGGCGGTCGAACCTCCCTTCCACAGGGGTCGCCTAAGACCATCCTGCGAATCAGATATTTACCTGACGATTCATCACAGTAGCAACATGACAGTGATGAAGTAGCCACGAAAATAATGTTATGATTGGGTCACCACATGAGGGACTGTATTTAAAGGGCCAGAAGGTTGAGAACCACTGCGTCTAACCCTCTCCTTTTCTCTCTCTAAAATCAATACACATATATTTTTAAAAAATCACTCAAGCTTACATGAGGCAAATGGATTGTGAAAAAAAAAGTGGGTAGCAGCACAATTTAAAAAAAATAATAATACCATAGACAAGAGCCCAACACAGTCACTCTCTGATGGTTGAAACACATTCTGTTTTGCTCCAAATTAATGCACCTGGTTCCTGTTATGATCTAAACGGAATGCAAGCTGGTATGACTCACGTGGTGATTCTGAAAGTTGAGCACAGAACATCCCAGGCGATGGCAAATCTGAAAACAGCTCTGGGTCTGCCGGATGGTGACCCCAATACATAATCTACCCCGGAGGTGACGGCGGCGCCCAGGGAACCAGGGGAAAAAAAACCCTGATTTCATTTACTTATTTTTAATATGTATTTTTATTGATGTCAGAGAGGAAGGGAGGGGGAGAGATAGAAACAGCAATGATGAGAGAGGATCATCGACCAGCTGCCTTCTGCACGCCCCACACGGGGGATCGAGCCCGCAACCGGGAATCAAACCCCAACCTCCCGGTTCGTAGGTTGATGCTCAACCACTGAGCCACGCCGGCCGGGTGGAAAGGCTGATTTTAAATTAAAGACATG